CCATTCTCCGACAATCTTCCCAAAAGCCATTCCAGCAACAACTCTTGCCAACAAGTCAGTCAATTATCTAGTCCGAGACTGTGGATGGACAAAATCTTGCATGACCCCCTGCGTTACACGTGCGCGACGGTTGGTAATCGAGCTCCCCGCACCCGTCTCAATGTTGCGTGCGCATATGGGTGATGCAGGATTTCGGTCATTCACACACATGCACTTTCGAAGCATTGCAAGGACGGCAATGTTAAGATTCAGGGTTTGGTGCTTGGCCACACCCGAGAAAGAGGAGCTTGAAGCTGCAAAAAGTACATCTCCGACATTCTTCCCAAAGGCCATTCTCCGACAATCTTCCCAAAAGCCATTCCAGCAACAACTCTTGCCAACAAGTCAGTCAATTATCTAGTCCGAGACTGTCTGGAGACTTGCAAGTTTTCGGACACTCTGGTCTCTAGTCCGTCCTGACCAAAAGTCAACTGAGGGTCCCGTATGTGGAGGGCCGGATGGGGCGAAAGTCGGAATGTTGTATTTTTTCAAGCACTTTCAAAATTGTTTCCATAGTGTTCAAATTAGTTTCCAAGAGTATTTTCAAATTAGTTTCAAACAGTTGCAAAATCGCTGGTAAGGGGTGAACGGCAATTTCCTGTCCGCGCTTTTGAAAACCAGGAATCTCTAATTCCTTCATTGTTGAATCGCACGAGGAAATTTCCAGTTTCCCCTTAACAGCGATTTTGCCAACTGGATTTTGAACTATTTTGAACTAATATTTAAACTACAGAAACGAATTTGAAACTTGAAAAAAAAAAACCGCGTACCATTTCTCGCTCTTTTGGGGGCTTGCACACCGAGAAATAGGATCTTGGAAGCTGCAAAAAACAAGTTACATCTCCGCTCCCGACCATTCCTTTCCAAGCCATTTCCGACATTCTTCCCAAAAGCCATTCCAGCAACAACTCTTGCCAACAAGTCAGTAAATTATCTTGTCCGAGACAGTCTGGAGACTGGCAAGTTTTCGGAAACTCTGGTCTCTATAGTCACGGCTGACCACAGTCAACTGAGGGCCGTGTGTGAGGGGCCAGGATGGGGGCAGAAAGTCCGAAATCTGGTATTTTTCAAGTTTCAAATTGTTTCCATAGTTTCAAATTAGTTTCCAATCAGTTTCAAATTAGTTTCAAAATCCAGTTGCAAAATCGCTGTTAAGGGGGAACTGCAATTTCTGTCCGCGCTTTTTGAAAACCAGGAATCTCTGAGATTCCTTCATTTTTTGAGTCGCACGTAGGAAAATGCAGTTTCCCCTTAACAGCGATTTTGCAACTGGATTTTGAAACTATTTTGAAACTAATTTGAAACTACAGAAACGAATTTGAAACTTGAAAAACGCGACATTTCTGCTCTTTGGTGCTTGGCCACACCCGAGAAAGAGGAGAGCTTAGGCTTGAAGCTGCAAAAAGTACATCTCCGACATTCTTCCCAAAGGCCATTCTCCGACAATCTTCCCAAAAGCCATTCCAGCAACAACTCTTGCCAACAAGTCAGTGAATTATCTTGTCCGAGACAGTCTGGAGACTTGCAAGTTTTCGGAAACTCTGGTCTCTAGTCACGGCTGACCAAAGTCAACTGAGGGCCGTATGTGAGGGGCCAGGATGGGGCAGAAAGTCCGGAATGTGGTATTTTTCAAGTTTCAAATTGTTTCCATAGTTTCAAATTAGTTTCCAGTCAGTTTCAAATTAGTTTCAAAATCCAGTTGCAAAATCGCTGTTAAGGGGGAACTGCAATTTCTGTCCGCGCTTTTTGAAAACCAGGAATCTCTGAGATTCCTTCATTTTTTGAATCGCACGTAGGAAAATCCAGTTACCCCTTAACAGCGATTTTGCAACTGGATTTTGAAACTATTTTGAAACTAATTTGAAACTACAGAAACGAATTTGAAACTTGAAAAACGCGACATTTCTGCTCTTTGGTGCTTGGCCACACCCGAGAAAGAGGAGCTTGAAGCTGCAAAAAGTACATCTCCGACATTCTTCCCAAAGGCCATTCTCCGACAATCTTCCCAAAAGCCATTCCAGCAACAACTCTTGCCAACAAGTCAGTCAATTATCTAGTCCGAGACTGTCTGGAGACTTGCAAGTTTTCGGAAACTCTGGTCTCTAGTCACGGCTGACCAAAGTCAACTGAGGGCCGTATGTGAGGGGCCAGGATGGGGCAGAAAGTCCGGAATGTGGTATTTTTCAAGTTTCAAATTGTTTCCATAGTTTCAAATTAGTTTCCAGTCAGTTTCAAATTAGTTTCAAAATCCAGTTGCAAAATCGCTGTTAAGGGGGAACTGCAATTTCTGTCCGCGCTTTTTGAAAACCAGGAATCTCTGAGATTCCTTCATTTTTTGAATCGCACGTAGGAAAATCCAGTTTCCCCTTAACAGCGATTTTGCAACTGGATTTTGAAACTATTTTGAAACTAATTTGAAACTACAGAAACGAATTTGAAACTTGAAAAACGCGACATTTCTGCTCTTTGGTGCTTGGCCACACCCGAGAAAGAGGAGCTTGAAGCTGCAAAAAGTACATCTCCGACATTCTTCCCAAAGGCCATTCTCCGACAATCTTCCCAAAAGCCATTCCAGCAACAACTCTTGCCAACAAGTCAGTCAATTATCTAGTCCGAGACTGTGGATGGACAAAATCTTGCATGACCCCCTGCGTTACACGTGCGCGACGGTTGGTAATCGAGCTCCCCGCACCCGTCTCAATGTTGCGTGCGCATATGGGTGATGCAGGATTTCGGTCATTCACACACATGCACTTTCGAAGCATTGCAAGGACGGCAATGTTAAGATTCAGGGTTTGGAAGGGATGAGCTGCATGATAAAAATGATGCAGGATTTCGTCCATCAACAGGATCACTCGACGTCCACAAAAGACCAGAAGTCTCTTTTGATTCTCACAAAAAAGCCCTTTAAAGCCCTCTAAAGCCCTAAACCCTAAACCCTAAACCCTAAACCCAGTTGAAGAAAGCATCATCGCCCACAAGACCAGAAACCGCGGCCTCGTATCGCGGAGGCGAGGCCGCTGAACTGTGGAAAGCAGTGACAGGTTCGGCGTTTAGGGTTTATAGGATTTAGGGTTCATAGGGGTTAGGGTTCAGGGTCCAAAATCAATTTTGAGGCCTTGAGCGTCTCCTTGCCATGTCCAGCTGCTTCTTTAACATCGGGGATGTATAGGATGCTTTGCTGTGGCATTACGCGTGCATCGCGTGCATTCTCTGAAATGGCTTGTTAGCTTTCTGCTGCCAGGGGGTTCTGGAATCTCGTTTCAAAGGCCTCCAAAGGCCTCCAGCAGGGAAGTTTATGTTTAGGGCTTGCTTTGAATTCAGCTGCGTCTTCAGGCTCGGTGGACGCCATGAGGATTCCGAACCAAAAGCCCCCCTCAATCCTTCCAGTGATTTGCAGCTGGCCTGGAGCTTTGTCCAGAGAAGTATTCCTTAGCACCGCCATCTACAGTCGGAGGCAGCTTGGTAGATCTCACTTCCAGCTGCGAATAATCTGGCTCGTCACTATGTTGTGCTTCTTTGCAGCTCCTGCTAGGAAAAAGCCAGGCAGAACACGCAAGCGTGGAAATTCAGGCACCCAGCATCTCTCGGGGAAGACCCCGACCCAATGCAATGGAAAGCAAGCTGTTTTCCAAGGGTGTCTGGGGATGTCGACCCTAGGGATGGCCCAAACATCCTGGCTGGGTTGACCCATCTGATGCCCCCCAGGGCATGCCCCCCTCATATACAGGACCCGCAGAGGGAAGCCGTTTTGGGGGGAGAGCCGGATTTGTAGGTCGAGTTGGGAGGTGATTCTGAAGGTACCCCTGACGTTCTAGCAGATTTGAAAATCCCAGAGCCTCTCCACCCTGGATTCATCTGCTCCACCAAGAAACCATGTTCACTCCTGCACAGACTCCTGGAGCAAACCCGTGTCCCTTCGGGCTCGTGGAGTCCCTAGAAAACAAAAGCGTCCAGCAGTGTGATTCGGAGGCCCCGGAGGAGCTTGTGAAAGGGCCCCCCAGCTTTGCTTGGGTCTCCTCTGCGAAGTCTGGTGTGCACAAGACCCGTGACGAAACTCCTTGTGCTGCTGGCAGAAGGAGAGGCAGAAGGAGAAACCCCCCCCCCAATTCCACATCACGAACGGGAAGCTGCGCGCTCCGGAATATGGGAGCAGTCATGTGCAGCTTGCCCTGACAGGAGACGGATGCAGGCAGCCGAGAAGAACACGAAAGGGACTACTGTCCAGCTAACAAATGTGTAAATGCCCTCTCACTCAGAAATTTAAGAGACGAGCATGTGGAAGATGGTTCGCAGGTCGTTGCGTGGGCCACGACGGCAGAATCAAACAGCCCCAGCACTGGCTCGATCTGACAAAGTGTGATGCCAGGAAGAATTGGCGAGTGTAATTATGTGATGGTCAAAGTAGCTGGGAAAGGGTCTGCGGCCCTGCCCTCGGAGGCTCCGGACAGACGCACGCCCTGGGTGTTTCAGAGTTTTTGGCTCCATGGGGCGCAGGGGTGTAACGCCATCATTGCAGCAAGGAGGTAGCAAAGCATGGATACTACTTTGCGAGCACCTCGCTGTCACTGCCTCACGCAGGACAGCCAGATACGCCAGTTCACCAAGTTTCTTCCCTCCAGGCCCTGATGAGCTGAGTTCCCCATGGCCATGGCTGGTACTTTGGGGTGGCAAAGCTCGTCTAGAAGCGGAAGCCAGAGGCTCCACTTGGTGTGTTTAACCCCTAGCAGCCAAAGGGGAACCTCGTCGTTGAAAGGGACGTCTCTGTGAACGCACCTGGACCAAGCTGCAACTGCAGCACCAGAAGCCGATCCTCAACCCTAGCAGCCCTAAACCTTGCAAACCCTAAACCCTAGCAGCCCAAAACCGTAAGCCCTAGCAGCCCTAAACTGGCCCTAAACCCGAAACTTAACCCCAGCCGGGCTCCCAATGCTGTCCCGACCCCTTGCAGGCCCAGATGCGTAAAGCACACCGGTCTGCTCCGACCACAGAAACATGCGACCCACCTGTCTGGGCTTTGTGGCTTGAAAGGCGGGAGGGCAGGGCGTTTTGCTTCGGGGATTCTTTTTTCGAGAAATCCCCAAGTTGGACTGGGAGGAAGACACCTCTCACAGTGCGGCTTAGGGTTTAGGGTTTTGGGTTTTCGGAGATGGCAGATGCTACAGAAGATGGCCTTTCCAAAAGGCTCTTCTTTCCTTGGACGTGCCATGTTGAGACCGACGTTCCACACTGAGCTCGAGCAAAGGCCGGCCTCCGCTGCCCAATGTGTAAAGTTGCCTTGACCCGCATCCGTCCAAAGCTCCTCCAGGCGGGAAGAATTTTGGCGCTCTTAGCCTTCGTTTATCAGAAGTTGGTCGCCTTCTCAGATTCGGTTTGGACCTTTGGACTGTTGGCGTGGTAGCCCAGGCTCGCACCCTGCGAAGTTCTGAAGTTCAAAGCGCAACTGTTCTGCCAACACTCCGGCCTCCTCCTCTGACAGGTTCGTCAAGGCAGCGACCTCCCGCATTATTTCAAGGAGTACTGCCGACTCAAACTTTATCAACTCGGAAAGCCCACTAAAATTGCCACATAACATCCTGGCCATTATAGGTGCAACTTATGCTGCGCGATCATCATGTCTTACGTTGCCCTCGATGCAAGACATGAGACGAATCACATTAGCCAGGGGTAACTGTACCTTGTAAACATGCTCCCTCGACTCAGGTAGTCGAAGGTGAGCTGAGGAGTCGGCTTCTTACTGCACTGAAATACACTCCCCCAACTCTCGTGGCTGCCGCGGCACATGCCAGTCGCCATCCTCCCCGGTCTCAGGAGAAAGAACCTGCAAACGTGCATTTTGCCCCACGACTTTGCCATCCAAATCCGGGAGTGCAAGTCACGCATGCGAGTGGCATTTGGCACCCTGAAAAGCATTGGAACACAAGGGAGTCTCATGAGCCTTTGCCCTCCTTGCCCTCATGACTAGCCATTCGGGTGGTCTTTGACACTTGCAACACATCTGCTGGGCACAGTCCGGCCTCCCGCGCTGGAGGCCTGCAGTAGCTGCGGACGTTTCCCCCACATCGGCAGCTATGTTGGGATGTCCCTGCTATGAAGCACTATGAACCTAAACACACACACAACCCCGCCAAAACTCTTGAAGATTCCAAAGAGATTGCAGAGACTGCAGTGCACCTGGGCCCAGCAGCTTGGGTGGATCCGGGCTCAGTCACGACCCCATCCGCAACGCCATCCGCCTCCAAGTCACGTCTTCCGTTGCGCTTAAATGTGTAGGGTTTAGGGTTTTAGGGTTTAGGGTTTAGGGCTTAGGGTTTATAAAAGCACGAGATGAATCATATTTTATGGAATGTCGTGTGCTCTCTTTAAAATTCACTCTATTGTTTTCATTTATCTCTTCACAAGGAATCCATCTGGCTCATAAAGTGAGCACTAATACTAGTATCTTTATTTCCCCTCTTCTATCCTTGCAATCTGTCATGCAAGGAAGACACGGCCCATAAAAACACTACATCCTTGTTGCTTTCTCTTTTCCTTTGGTTAGAAATACGACTATTAGGAAGTGAAATGAACTCTATTTGTATCTTTTCTTTTTCTTTCTTATTCGCTAGATTCATTGGGTTTGTGTTCATATCAATTTGAGTTCTCTTTATCTTCTCGTTCACGTGGTCCACGAAGATGATACAACTTTTAACTGGATTCTCCATTCACGGGGGTAGTTCTCTTCATTATTGGCGGTTCACGTTTCCTTCGCCATTATCAATTAATATACTGTAGCTCTCATGAAACTTTAGGACAAAAAACTTATAATTCAAATGCACCCTTAAAGGACTAAACAATGGAGATACTAGCGCACAAGGGAGCACAAGAAATCCACTACAACTATTCATTCGCTTCCTTCATTTGTAACTTAAGAAATGCATCAGCGAAGCGAACATTAATACCATAGAGTTTCTCTCATATTTGATCTTTCATGACTTTTTAGGAAAAATATCTTTTCCCCAATAAAGTAGGACATTAACTTACGTCCAAATTAAATTGTCTTTTATTCATTAATTTTCGGTATCGAGGGTACTTGTAGGAGCTTCTTGGGCGCCAGCCAAAAGTACAACATCCGTCGACCTACATCCTACATCCTGCTGGAGGATGCTGGAGGCGTTCCCGGCTTGTTGCGTGAAACTTTCTCAAAGTCAGAAGGAAGCGCAAACTTGATGTAAAGAGAACTACTTTTGATTCTCGAGGTGTTGCAGTCTTCCTACCTTTTCCCGACCTTCCACGATCCATCCCAGCCAGCACCTGTATGTACATATTATATATATATATAGAGTATAATGTACTATGCTAGACTATACTATACTATCATATTCTCTTATATTTTCTTTTATTATATATTATATATAATTATTTATTATACATTATACATTATACATTATATATGATATATTATATATTATATATTAGATGTTATATGTTATATGTTATATGTTATATGTTATATGTTATATGTTATATGTTATATGTTATATGTTATATGTTATATGTTATATATGATATGATATTATATTATATTATACATTATATATTATATATGATATGATATTATATATATGTATATATTCTAGGATTGTATCGGGCACGTAGGGGAGGGGGTGGGGCCTCCTCAGCCTCCTCCGGCTCGCCAGTGTCTGGCCCTTCACGGGGCCTCAGAAGAAGGCCCTCTCAACTTAGGGCGCTTCCTTCCTAGGGTTTAGGGTTTAGGGTTTAGGGTTTAGGGTTTAGGGTTTAGGGTTTAGGGTTTAGGGTTTAGGGTTTAGGGTTTAGGGTTTAGGGTTTAGGGTTTGGGGTTTAGGGTTTAGGGTTTAGGGTGCCTCCACACCCCAGGTCTTCCTGGCATGCGACGGATACCCAAAGTCACGGGGTCCAAGTCTGCAAGGCAGTCGATCCTTCTGTATCATTTCCGACTGCACGTGTCAAATTTTATGTACAGGGCCGACAAAGCCAGAACCCAAAACCGTGGACCCTGAACGTTTTTGGGCCCTAAAGAAGCCCAACCCTTGTAAACTGCTGCCCAGCGGCAGTTCCAGTCGCATCCTTTCCGCTGCCTCCTTCACCTCTGCCATGTCCGCGCTCTCGAAGGCCTTTGACAGGGGGCTTAGGTGAGGGCCTTGCAGCGGGAGGGGAGGTAAGTGGCGAGGCCTGCGATGTGTTTTTCGTGATTGCAGGGTGTATGTCGCCCAGGCGATGGAAAGCCCAGAGACATATGGGATGTTGGCTTTGGGGGGCGAACACAAGACCGTTCCGCAAGCCCTTGATGCCTGTTGTGGATACTGCCAGGGAAACGGCTGAGTCCGCAAGACAGCGTCAGTGCTGACAACAACTCTGCACACAAGCTTGCCATCGCTTTGGCTCGAAAAAAGCCTACCTACCTGACGCCTTCTCAGGCGACTCCCCACTCCACGAAACCTAACACATCCTAACACCTTTGCACGCTGCCAAGAAGCCGATGTCTGAACAGTCCGTTACAAGATGTTACAAGGGTGCAGGAGAAGCATGCCCGTGAACCACAAAGTTCCAGACAGGTGCACAGAAGCACAGGGTCACTCAAGATCGGGATCTTCAACCGTTGGCTCCACTTGAGAAGGGCCAACAAAAGGGCAACCCCTTGAAAGGCGAAGCCTAGAGAAGACAAGGCGCACCCTTAAAGAGCTGGTACCTTACAATATTCAATAGGGACCATTAGGCTTACAATAGGGGCCATATCAGGGACCTGCGTCAGCTCGTCACGCCAGAAGAAAGCGCCATCCCCACCTGTCTTATCATTTTCTTAAGTGAATGAAAGGGCGGGGGAACCATGGGCTTGGGATTCTGTGTTCAGGTTTCAACGGGCTTTAGCGGAAGACTTCTGCTGGCGCGTGGCTCGGCGGGCTTCGAAGTGTACAACCGGGCCCAGAACATTCGCGGCAAATGCTTCCAGGTCGAGAGACGAGATGACCTTCAGGCCTAGACCTACCGTAAGTTCCCTAAACCCTAAACCCTAAACCCTAAACCCTAAACCCTAAACCCTAAACCCTAAACCCTAAACCCTTGGGAGCGCTGCTAGGATTCTTTCAGCTCAGGCTTGTGCCAAGGAGCTGTCGTAGTAGGTATCGAGCCACTCACAATACCAAAGCGCCAAGGCCTGAGTCGGACTACGGCTACAGGCTGCCCTTCTCCAAAAGCCTGAATACGGCGCATCGACTGAAACCTTGTGGGGGGAGAGAATGGGACATAAAAAATGGAGGCATTAGCCTTAGGAGGAGCCCCAAGCCCCAGAGCCGCAGCAGAAGCCTGAACTCAGCCCCGGCGGCGCGGTTGTAGCGCCACCATGGGAGATCCTCAACACGGCGGCGCTGCGTGCCCTCCTCTGAAGTGGCTCTGAGAAGTGGGGTTTTCTTGTGACTTCTTGTGGGGGGACAGTGGGGGGACAGTTCGAAAGATCAGACTTTCCAACGGCTTGAAAGGATTTTTTCTGGTTCCTCTCTGGGCGGAGTTAATTCAGAGGCTCCCAAACACCGATGTGTCGGGACACCCCTGTGCTCCTGAAGCAAATGACCGATAGCTACTGCACATGCTCCAAGCAAGTAAAGTCTGCCCCTAAGCCCAGAGACAGCAGGTCCTTACCAGGAAGTCGCCGTGAAGGGTTTGCGCCACCGAGGAACTGCTTAAACAAGGTCTCTTGCCTTCAGTGCCCGGGCATTTTGGGAGGCTCACTGGTTTAGAGAGCTTCAGTGCCGTTCAGTGCTCAGAGTATCTTGTGGATTTTGGCGTGCCATTACGGCCTTTCTGCAATTTCTGGCGGTTCTGAAGCGCAAGCGCGCGCGGGACGCAGAAATCCTACAAGGCACAAACCAAAAAATGCCTGCAGCACCTTTACCTTCGTGCAGCATGTGCCAAGGGCAAAAAACAAATAGGCCCAGCCACACTGTCTCCAGGACACTCATGAGCCATGGCAACAGGCAAAATGAATGATCCCTCGTGGCATTTGCACCGGCGCGTCACCCCTATAAGCGAGAGCCCCGAAAGGGTGTAGTAGGTGGTTCCCTGGCTGGAGCACCGAAATGGCAGGGGGCGAGGCGAAACTTCGCGGTGCTCCTGCTCAACGCCCTGAAAGCCCCCAAGTTGTCTCGCAATTCATGGTTTGCAGGCTGGTGAGCCGAACCGTGAAGCAGCAATGGCTTTGGGTGCCTTTGTGAGGTTTGGGGCGATGTTCAGCATTCTGCACTGGGCCTGCAGCATCATTCGTGCAGTTGCATGGTTCCCCGTTTCGCAAAGATGCCCTACAATGCGCATGTGTAACTTGACTGTGGCTTTTCCTGTACAGGGGCCCTCCGGTGCGCTGGGAGCCAGGCCCTAGGGACCTAGCGTAACACCTTGAAACGCGTGGGCCAAAACTGCTCACTTCATCGCCTTCATCGCCTGCGGCAAGACGCGGCGTCCACTATTGAACAAGTGAGAGTCGTGCAACTTCGACCGTTTTTGCGTGATGTTGCATGACTTCAGGAATGCGCACGCCGTTCAAGTCGCAGAGCCTTCATGGCCTTCATGGCTTTCATCGCCTGCAATCGGAGTCCGTTCGGAGCGCGGAAGCCGCAGCGGGGGTTGCTTCGAGATTTCAAAACGTTTTATCTTGGGATGGTTGCGGCTCCCAGTGACCAAGTCGACCACATGAATCTGCCCAAAACGCGGCAAAAAGGCCTTCATGGCCTTCATGGCCTTCATCGCCTGCTGCAGTCAAGTTGGGCGATGGCCCAAACCCAGCATCGCAGGAATCAACGCAGCATGCTCTAAGAATGTGCCACCATGCAGGGAAGGTCACGAAATCTCCAACGCTTCCGTGTGACTCTTTGCAACAACCCGGCAAGCAGTCCGTTCAGCATGGATGTTCCGTGCCCTGTGGGCCTTCATTGCCTTCATGCTCTTCATCGCGGGAGCTTCCTCGTCATCCGCCTTCTTCTTCATGGCCTGTAGCCACTGTAGCCAAGGCTTCGACAGATCGTACGAAAAGACCGCTCTCTCTCACCACGAAACTGTGTAGCTAAACTAAACTACGCTAAACTTGCTATGCGCTCACTGACGCTCACCTCGAAAGCGTGAAAACCTCCCCCATTTCCTCCTAATGCAAGCCAAACTTGATGACGGAAATAAAACAGGGTCGCGCGCCTTCATGGCTTTCATCGCCTTCATGGCCTGTCAGCAAGTCGAGGGGCACGTTTGACGCGTGGCCGGCCACGGCAATACTAGAATTTGTTGAAAATTAAGGCCTTCTTCGGGGCAAAGGAGGGTCCCAAACAATGTCACGGAGGTCCATCTGACGAACGTCACTGGGAGAAAGCCGCTGGTGTTTTCGGGATTTGGGGCTTTTGAAGCAGCACCCTGGTAGAAAGTACATGCCCCCACCACAATTCCGGCCTTCATGGCTTTCATAGCCTTCATGGCCTGCAAGCAGCAACTTACGATTCCTCGGGGCCTAACAAAACTCATACCGCTGGCAGTAGGCGCTTTCGGGATTCAGGGCGCTGTAGACTGTAGACGAAGCCTGCCTCTTGCACAGAAACAATGGCGGAACGAAACAGTAGGCCGGTTGCCTTCATCGCCTTCATCGCCTTCATGGGAGCCATGGCGAGTGCAGGAAGCCTTCGGAGGCACAAGGGAGCCGTGAGAGAACTCGAAGGGCTGCGGCAGCCGACTCTGTGATGCTTTGGCACGCCTTCAAGCGAACTGTCCGGCCGCCTCGAGGAGAAGAATTCCCACAAAGCCCCGGGAACGAAAAAAACAAAACTTGAAATATATACGTTCCCTTGCACGAACACACACACACACACCCACACACACCCACACACACCCACACACACCCACACACACCCACACACACCCACACACACCCACACACACCCACACACACCCACACACACCCACACACACCCACACACACCCACACACACCCACACACACCCACACACACCCACACACACCCACCCACACCCACACACACCCACACACACCCACACACACCCACACACACCCACACACACCCACACACACCCACACACACCCACACACACCCACACACACCCACACAACACCCACACAACACCCACACACACCCACACAACACCCACACACACCCACACAACACCCAAAACACCCAAACAACACCCAAAACACACAACACACACAACACACAAAACACACAAAACACACAACACACAACACACAACACACAACACACAACACACAACACACAACACACAACACACAACACACAACACACAACACACAACACACAACACACAACACACAACACACAACACACAACACACACCACACAACACACAACACACAACACACAACACACAACACACAACACACAACACACAACACACAACACACAACACACAACACACACACACACACACACACTCACACTCACACACACACACACACACACTCACTCAAAAACTCACTCTCCCTCCACAGCGCAACACTCAGGCGCGTCCTGCAATCTCATCCATATGCAAAGGCAGGAAGCTGTCGTGAACATCCCACAACGCGCATGCGTAAGCTCTGGGTGTGGTTTTTTCCTGTACAGAGGCCCTCCGGTGCGCTGGGAGCCAGGCCCTAGGGACCTGGCGAAACACCTTGAAACGTGTGGGGGCCAAAACTGCTCACTTCATCGCCTTCATCGCCTGGGGCGCGAGAGGTTCTGCTGATGTGGGCTTTTCTTCAGGACATGTTGGAGATGACCTGCTGCTTCGAAGCTTAAACGGGAACTTCGACATGAGCAGAGCAGCTGCCGGTTCAAGATGCGGTGATCTTTTGGGGGTGGCAGAGAACGACCACAGAAACAAATGAGAGTTTGTGCGCCGAAACCTGCCTTCATGGCCTTCATGGCTTTCATCGCCTGCAATCGGAGTCTGTTCGGAGAGCTGAGCAAACTTCGACATCAACAGAGCACGCAAACACATGCAGGTATCTTACTGCAGCCGGGGGGTTGCTTCAAGACTGCTTCGAGATTTAAGGTCTTTCATCTTGGGATGGCTGCGGTTCTCGGTGACTAAGTAGACGGGACCCCATGCATCTGCACGACGTGGCACTTAAAGGCCTTCATTGCTTTCATGGCCTTCATCGCTTTCATCGCCTGGTGCAGTCAAGTTCCCCAGGCGATGGCCCCAAGCAAACCAGCTATGCACGAATCAATGCAGGACCCACCAAGGATGTGCCACCAGGCAGGGAAGGACACAACATCTGCAACGCTTCCGTGTGACTCTTTGCAACAACCCGGCAAGCGGTCCGTTCAGCATGGATGTTCCGTGCCCTGTGGGCCTTCATTGCCTTCATGCTCTTCATCGCGGGAGCTTCCTCGTCATCCGCCTTCTTCTTCATGGCCTGTAGCCACTGTAGCCAAGGCTTCGACAGATCGTACGAAAAGACCGCTCTCTCTCACCACGAAACTGTGTAGCTAATCTAAACTACGCTAAACTTGCTATGCACTCACTGACGCTCACCTCGAAAGCGTGAAAACCTCCTTCAACCCCATGCCCTCCTAATGCAAGCCAAACTTGATGACGGAAATAAAACAGGGTCGCGCGCCTTCATGGCTTTCATCGCCTTCATGGCCTGTCAGCAAGTCGAGGGGCACGTTTGAAGCGTGGCCGGCCACGGCAATACTAGAATTTGTTGAAAGTTTAAGGCCTTCTTCGGGGCAAAGGAGGGTCCAAAACAATGTCACGGAGGTCCATCTGACGAACGTCACTGGGAGAAAGCCGCTGGTGTTTTCGGGATTGGGGCTTTTGAAGCAGCACCCTGGTAGAAAGTACATGCCCCCACCACAATTCCGGCCTTCATGGCTTTCATAGCCTTCATGGCCTGCAAGCAACTACTTACGATTCCTCAGGCCTCTGCTATTGCACAGCCAGCGGGAGCCTAACAAAACTCATACCGCTGGCAGTAGGCGCTTTCGGGATTCAGGGTGCTGTAGACTGTAGACGAAGCCTGCCTCTTGCACAGAAACAATGGCGGAACGAAACAGTAGGCCGGTTGCCTTCATCGCCTTCATCGCCTTCATGGGAGCCATGGCGAGTGCAGGAAGCCTTCGGAGGCACAAGGGAGCCGTGAGAGAACTCGAAGGGCTGCGGCAGCCGACTCTGTGATGCTTTGGCACGCCTTCAAGCGAACTGTCCGGCCGCCTCGAGGAGAAGAATTCCCACAAAGCCCCGGGAACGAAAAAAACAAAACTTGAAATATATACGTTCCCTTGCACGAACACACACACACACACCCACACACACCCACACACACCCACACACACCCACACACACCCACACACACCCACACACACCCACACACACCCACACACACCCACACACCCACACACCCACTACAAACTAGACACTACACACTACACAACACACCAACACACGCACCACACACGCACACACACACCCACACACACCCACACACACCCACACACACCCACACACACCCACACACACCCACACACACCCACACACACCCACACACACCCACACACACCCACACACACCCACACACACCCACACACACCCACACACACCCACACAACACCCACACAACACCCACACACACCCACACAACACCCACACACACCCACACAACACCCAAAACACCCAAACAACACCCAAAACACACAACACACACAACACACAAAACACACAAAACACACAACACACAACACACAACACACAACACACAACACACAACACACAACACACAACACATGCACAACACACAACACACAACACACAACACACAACACACAACACACAACACACAACACACAACACACAACACACAACACACACACACACACACACACTCACACTCACACACACACACACACACACTCACTCAAAAACTCACTCTCCCTCCACAGCGCAACACTCAGGCGCGTCCTGCAATCTCATCCATAT